AAATAGACAGGTTTATTTAGTTTGTGACCTTTGGCTAGCTATTCTTTGTTGTTCTCTGTGAACAAGGTTAAAGCATCCTGTCGTATTTACCCAGTTTCTTTGCAACAGCTTTGTCTTTCTTTGCATCGATGAGGCCGACTCCGATATCTTCATCATCAAACTCGTCCAGGACCTGGGCTGCACGCTGCAAAACACAAACACTGTTGCGTGAAAAAAACACACGATCTTGGACTCTGAGCTCAGAGGGGAAAAGACACATGTGCTTTTATGACTGTGTGAGTGATTCCCAGGCACATCTGAAACGTGTTTCACAGGGATGTGGCTGATGATGACAAAGCTGCCACGCTTAGTGATGGCATTACCATAAAAGCCTGCTTTTCAGAGAGCTGCTTGCGCACTTTCTAAATCTGTATGAAACTCGAGCTTCATAACTGACAGTTGATTCTACCAATAGCAGGGACATGCTCGCAGCCGAATTGCTTTGAGGAAGTGGTTTGAGGAACGTCCCTGCGCAGTTGAAGGGTAAAAAGTCCACACACACACACACACACACACACACGCGCGCACAAGCGCGCACACACGTGTGTGCTCACACCTTGTCATGGACCTGGAGCAGCTGCTTTCCTGGCACAAACAGTCACCCTAACCAGGCTCTCCTGCAGATTGGTGTGCAGATCAACAGCAATTCTGGTACACAAAGTCGCCTTCTCTTTTTCAAGAGAATAACTTTGCGTTAGTGCTAATGATGTGTAAGTAGTGTCACTGGACTGCTTTGTCTTTAGGTAAAGTTAAACCGGTCTCATATTGGTCTTACAGCTTTGCCCGCCATGTTTTGTAGACATGAACTAAGTTTTGGCTGTTTGTTATTAGTGCTCACGGCTATTTAAAGGTAAATAAAAGTTATTCAACTCATTTAGTGCAGAGGATGTAGGTGTACAAGTCAAAATGGGTGTACTGGTCAACCACTAGATCCTGAGCAGAAAGGCTATGGAGACTCAGGGAGGTCACGGTCACAGATCTATGTTCCAAAAGCCCAACAGAAGTGGCAGTAACTTTGGACTTCCTTCCAGCTGTGAGTTGTTTGCCTTTCAGCAACCCCCACAGACTTCTTTAACCTCAGCAATGTAACACCTTTTTTACTTCTGCCTGTTACTAATAATAAAAGCTATTAAATGTAAATCATGATGCATTCATGAGGAGAAACACAAGCCTTCAGTAGACTGGACCCATCACAAATGCAGCCCAGAGTAAATTTAGCACCAGGAGCCACACCAGCTCCAGCTCAGGGACTATTTTGGCGTGGCAGCAGTGATGCTCTGAGCTCAAGGATCCGCTGACAAGTACAGTAATGCAAGTGGCGATCAGTGCGTGGTGCTGAGCCGGCAGTACTGGAGTCGGTGCACCCAGAGCTGGCCTGCAGCCCCAAGTCTGAGCCCCACTGCCCCCTCCAGCGACACCAGAGCCTGCTGAGATTACGTGATATGCCAAGGACAGACTCTCCTGCTGCTCTGGCCTGTCCCATTTATGTTCCATTCCACTGCTTTTACACCATTTCAGCTCTTTCAAATCTATTGATAGTTCATCTCTTAAGTTCCCAGCTTTAGTGCCATTCTAACCATTTACTTAATTATTTGCTCATTTGCTTCTGGGTGGACCAGGGGATGACGCAATAACAACTGTTGAAAGTTAGCCCAAGAGAACACACACATATGTTGCGATGCATCATGTCATCCACAGATGAACAGATAATTTTTTGGCTTTGAAACGTTTTTTCCTCCAGCTGCTTTTCATGAATTATCAAGATAAAATCATGCAGTCAAAGAAATGTCAAATACCATAAAAAACTGTCAGTAAAAGATAATTTATTTGATCTGAATCAGTCATAGCGCCCCTTTTTGAGTATTTGATTTAAAATCTGTGATTTGTTTTGTGCTGGGCTTTAAAACAAAACGTGTCTGCATCGGACATATGTGTTCACGTATACTCTGAATAACAAGCCAAACTGTTGCGGAGAAAAGTGACATGTGATATCCAGTAAATTCATGTGTAATCTAAGAACCGGCCCTGGTAAGCTGTTGTTTGACACTTTGAGAGCTGACACCCAAACTTTGCTCTGAACGGTGATGTAATGTCTCTCCCTGCGAATAACGGGACGAAACTGCTGAGCATCCAGGCTGACAGGAGGCCTGAGGTGTGACTGCTATTCCCATGAAAGTGTGATAAAGTGCATCACAAACACACTGTCATACGCACACTGTGTGCATGGGCTCAGCAGAGGAGGGTTTGCCATTTGTGGGCCCTCAGTTCTAAGTATATTTAAATCTTGCGAAGATATTTTTACCATTCAATTACATGCAGCCTTGTTTTTCAAAATAAGATATATGAAGTCCCTTAAAGTTTTCAGAAAAACAACAGTGCCCTACTTTACTTCACGATGGGGTTCCAAACTGAATTACAGTATCAAGCCAAACTGACTTCTATTCTATAGATACATCGACCAAAGTGTTGGAATCAGCCTCGGATAGCTATCAAACTTGTTCCACCCCAGTTTCCAATCTCAACCCACCTCAAGGGCCAACTCCTCAGTGTCAAACTGTCTCTGGGCGGCGCGGCTGGATCCCGGATGGTCGTGGTAGTACACCACCATCACGTCGTACTTTCTCATCACAGACTTATAGTTCTTGGCGCTGAGGTCGTGCACACGGTCCTTGCCATCATATTCAGGGAAGTCCAGGGTTTCCTTGCCCAACGATAGCGCCCCAAAGGACAGCAAGACCCCCACAAGCACCCAGGTCCACTTCATGGCTCCTCTCCGGGGCAATTTAGATCGATTTAGTTTTGTACAGTTAACTAAGTGGGGTTAAGAAAAACAAGCTTGGAGTAAGTATGCAGAACCCCTTCCAACCCGCGTCACCCAGAAGAGAGCAAGACCAACTCCTGGGTCCACCTTATTAAAAAACCCACACCAGGAGCTGGCAGGGGGGCACGGGGGGCAGGAGGGGCAGGGCTAAGTTTGACATAGGTGAGAGCGTGTGCCTATGTGGGGTGTAACCCAGCACGGGAAAGATGAGGCAAGGCAGAGGCGGTTGCTGGGGTGACAGCGTTGTGTGTGGGGGCTTTCGTGCGTGTGCACTGGTAAAACTGGGGTGGAGTGAGATGATGAGGGCAAAGCGGGTGTCTTTTCTCTCCCTGACTGGGCACGCAGCCTGTAAGGACGGTAAAGGAAGTGAAGGGAAAAGGCCTGTGCATGTGGACCTGTGTCGTTTTTATTTTTTTCCAAATGAAGAAGAAGAAGGATGTGATGGATTGGGAGGTGGCTGTGAATATTTGGCACTCTTTTCCCATATTAAGTGAAGATAGAGGCTTGGATCCCAGCTAAAAATAATGGATGTAGGACAGAGAAGTGCATATCAGGAGGGGCTCCTACTGGTGTCTGATTTGCTTCTGCTGGCATCGTTGCAGCGCTAGAATGTGGAGCTGGGTCACTCCAGGACGTGGGGCAAGAGGAGAGGAAAGGAGAGGAGAGGAGGGCCTGGTGCACCTGCTGAGGCTTCATGCGTAGGTTTCACTTAGCCCTGACTCAAGAAGAAAGTGAAACATAGTTTTTACAGGAGGAGCGTCCGTTGTTTTAAAAGATCTATTAGAAATACAACACATGCATCTTGTGCAATGTTCAGTATACTTAAGCAGAAAGCACGTGATATTATTTTACAAATTGAAAGGGAAGATGTAAGCTAATTATAGCTATGTGCGCTGTGGTATCATACTACATACGAGACACACCCCTCTTCTCTAAGAATGTGCGGCTACAGTATTAAAGCAGCGGTGCCTGGTATGTGTAAGGGATGAAAAACCACCATAAGGTGTGTGTGTGTGTGTGTGTGCTGATGCAGAACGGAAATGTGTGTCTCTGTATATGACTGTGGTTTGTGACTATGAAGCTGAGCTGTGTCTCACAGTAACTGTAAACATCTAATGCACTGTGACAGGCTCTAAATGAAATGGAGAAGAGTTTCAACTGTGCCTCATTTACACCTCGTGTGGTGACAGCTTGTGTAACTATTTTCACTTGTATATCTCAAATAGCCTGAAGAAATGAGTATGTTTGCATGAACTCTACAGCTAGAAAACAATCGAGTTTCTATTGCTTGCTTTTGAGAACAGCTTAATCATTATTCGTTTGTTTTTTTTAACGGCTCAAACCATCGACCATGACACGTTTCTGGCAAAAGCCTCATCATGAATGTCAAGTTTTTTTACTTTAACAAACCATCATGTATCTGGCCAAACTTCAGTAACATTTATTCCACCTTTTGTTAATTCAATTCACTATAATTTCACGCATTTGTCCACTTAGCAGCTCTAAACTCATCTTATATACTTTAAGGAAATCTGACTCCAACTTTATGTTGATCCGTTTACTCAATAACTTCCACTTTTAACATGTTTTTTTGCCTCTGTTCAACTGATTATATATATCAATCTGCCTGGTTGTGTTTTTTCTTGGCATGAGTTTTATTTGTACTCGCCACGTTTTTCCTTTTAAAAGTTGTAAATAAGCAATTTTACTCTAAAAAAGAATTTGCTGTCAATCCTTATGTTCTTCACACTTGCACAGTGGTGTGATTTTTTTTCATATGGGTGGACTACACGATACTTTCTCCCCACATTCGTGCCCTGCATGTTTTACACGTCTCACTTCTCCAACACGAAAAAAAAATCATTATAGAGCCTCGGTATCTGCTGAGCCTGATGAAGGGCTGACGTGCTGACCTACTGATACGTATGAGATGTGTTAGAGAGGAGAAACACGAGCCACATATATTGCATTAGAGTTGGAGTTGGAAAGAACCTGACGCAGACATCTTTGTTTCAATCTGATGCCGTTACTCTTTTTAACCAGTAGATGAGGCTCTCTCACCAGTACCATACTCTGACTATGTTGTTCAGATTACTACAACTTGACCTTCTTCAATATGGGTAAATAATCTGTTAAAAAACTTACAGCATATTGTCTTAAGAGATGAATTTGCTTCAAACAGTTTTAGTCAATGTATCACGAAAAATGGATTATAAAATACATTCAGTAACCATATTCACTGATGGTTTACTTAATAGGCCCTCCAGGCACAGTCCACTTTTAGGAGACCCCACTGTTTGGTTAAAAAGAAATTGCATAGTCTAGAAAACCGTACAAAATTATCATAAAAGATGTGCAGGGTACATATATATATATTTATCTACATATTTGACGCTGGCAATCCAAACAATATCTGAATGTTCTCTGTTTTTAGGCTTCTCTATTGAGGTGACAATAAAACTAGGAGCTTTTACACAAGTTGGACCCTCTGTGACTTTATCAGGAAAACTTTTTTAAAACCTATAATTAAATAATTAAATTCCGCGAGACTAGCTTGAAATGTATCAGTTTCATCCCCCAAAACCTTTTTTACCTGTAGGTACGCTAAAGGGACACGTGATCAGACTGTTGTCGTGCTTGCCGGAAGGGGCGGGGTTGAAGTGTTAAAGTGGGCGGGGCCTAATTGCTAACACTTTCATAACATGTTACAAGAGCACGTCGTGTCAAGTAAAAACAATTGTTTTTGTTGAGGAACTGCGTAAAACAACAGCAGGGCCTGTGCCATTTGAACTGGAATAAGGTCAGACATTACAATGTCAGGATATTTTTGTGGTCGGTAACTTGCTCGCGTACGTGTTTTTGCTGTTGAAACTAAACAATAAACAACATATTATTATTTTTAGGTCGTTGTTAAAGCTAAAGCTAACAGCAGAAACACACCGCGCTGCATTCCTGATACGAACAAATGTAGCAGAGAGCAGATAAAACTAAGCTAGTTTGACCTTTTTATGCTTTACTGTCTAATTATTGTATAATATTAAACAGGCATCACGTGAACGTCAGAAAGCTTTGGTCACGTGCTACTGAGATTATGTTTGTCATTTCGCCTTAAAATCAAAGTCGACTTCTTTAGACTTTTCTCACTCACTGGGTGTCCCAATCGGGTAAATCCTGAATGAACAATGTTAGGAAACCGAGAGAAAAAACGCCATTCGCCTCCTGTAACACGGCAATAAATGATACATTCTATAAAACTGGTCTTTAAATTTCAGTTCTGCTTTTTTGGTTGTCAGATGGCCTCAGCTGTGGCCAACAGAGCAGTGGGAGCCATCTTGGGATCAGCTGTTGCAGATGCTGCAGGTAAAGTTAAAAACAGTCAGTCATACTTTGTTTTTGTGTTGTCATTTAGTAGCAGAAAAATATGACAAAAGGAAACTTTTCTTCTGATCTCTCACTTGGAAACAAGTGAGAGACAGAGACAGAATGGGATTATCAGAGTGACCTCTTTTACACCAATTGCTCCTTTGATTTTTCCTTTCATGTGTTTGACACGTTGACCTGGTTTAGAGTAGTTTATTTGGGTTTGTGTGTGAGTCACTGATGTTTTGGTCTGCATGAATAACCCCCTGCAGCGCAGCCCCTCCACTGGGTGTACGACCTCCAGAAGCTGAAGGGGTTTTTGGATCAGAATCCAAACCCCGAGTTCCACCCGGAGTCGGCTAACCCGTTCTACAGGAGACAGACGGGCGAGCAGAGCTGCTACGGGGACCAGGCCTACGTCCTCCTGGAGTCGCTCTCTGAATGTGGAGGTGGGCCTCAGTCCTCATCTTATGGACTCAACAGACAACCTCACGGTCATATGAAACCTTAATATTTCCACAAACAAATTCAGTGCAACCCCACAGAAAACGCTTCACACTTAGGGCCGGTTCAAACATGATGTTTTATTATTATTAGCGACTTTAGTTGCATATTGGAAATTTCTTTAGATGGTAATTCGTCGTAATGGCCGAGTGACTCCGCTCTTGTTTTGTTTCAGGGTTGAATGTCGAGGATCTGACGCAGCGCACACTGAAATTCTTTGGACCAGGATCAGAGTATGACACGCCTATCAACGATCCTTACCGACAGAGGGGGGGTAAGGAGGCCCACCAGTTGATACCGATGAAGGTTATTGTTCTGTGCCTTCTACTAGATAATGCTTATGGAGGTTATATTTTGGTTTATGCCAGGACCAAGACCTCAGCTGCCTATTGAGGGACCATGGAGACACGCAAGCCTGAAGAGCTTCCTAAAGAATGTCGACGCAGGGAATAAGGAGACAGGTGAAGTGCTGCTGGATGATAGTTCGAAGCTATGGTTTAGAAAACAAAGTAAAAAGCCAACTCCAACCGGTGTGGTGTGTGTGCTTTTGCTGTGGTGCAGGCTGTGAGACCGACTGCCAGATTGATGGAATAACCAGGCTGGCCCCGGTCGTGGCTTTTTACGCAGGGCAGCCTGACATGCTGGAGAAGGTGGAACAGGCCATCCGCGTCACGCAAAACAATGACGAATGTGTTGCCGAAACTCTAGCAGCTGCTCGGTCAGTGTTTGTGTATTATAAATGTGTGGGTGGGTGGAACACCTTTTTTTTTTAGTTCATTTTTTTATTCCTAATTCATCCCCAGGTTTCTGGAGCATTACATCTTGAATGGTCCCGACCCGAAGGCTTTGGACGTGGTGCTGAGTCAGCTGAGCGACCCCAACAGAAAGCAGCCTCAGGATCTGGACAAAGCGGTCATCGGTATGAGAAGTCATCGTAGTGTTGTTTTTTTGCTTCTCCTCCTGGCGAAGTCATGGGACTCAGTCATGGGGTTAAAGGCTTCTTATATGATATTTTCAAAAAGATGAACCCATGCAGATGTTGGCGCATGTTACTTTCCATTTTGCAAAGATAAAGATTTATATAAAGTCCTCTGCTTATTGGCACACTGCGTTCATGCTTATTTTCTGTCTGACTTCAGGCCACATTCATCAAGTGAAGGAGACTTTATCCAAAACTCCGCAGGAGCTCATCCCCACCGTGTTTCCAAACACATGAGGTATGGTCTGTCTTTAAACGAGCAGTAAAACTTAACAGAGCAGTCAATTTTGATGCGCTGGATGTCATTCCAGGTTTGCCAGGTGCATTCCAGGCAGCGCTGCATGGAGTCCTGACAGCTAAGCAGTTTGAGACGGCTGTCAGAGACACCATGAGCTGTGGGGGGTGCACCTGCAGTAGAGGATCCTTCATCGGAGCTTGTCTTGGAGCTCAGGTTTGTCTATCGATTGCACTTTATTTATAGTAACTGGCCCTTTGGGGCTGACTGGGTCATTTATTCATTCGTTGATTGGTTCATCGTGTCTAGACCGGGCCTGAGGGGATCCCAGCGTCCTGGAAGAGCAAAACCCTGAGATACAGCTCGGTGCTGGAGCACGCTGAGAAGATCACCAAACACCACTCTTAGTTCTCTGGCTGCGTCCAGTGTAAAGCGGCACAGAGCATCATGAGCAACTGTAGAGCTTTCACAGAGCAGTGGATGAAGGTTTTTTGTCTTAACTCTTGGGCGACAGAAGCTGGATGTTTTTGTCTCTGTTTAAGTTTAACAAGTTGGTTCAGATGTGATTTGCCTTCATTTTTTTTTTTTTCGGCCGCCACATGTCAAAACGGAACATAACGGAATAGAAAAAAAAAAACGGAATAGAAAACAAAGCAGTTATTGATAACATATTTATATTTTTTTTTTTCAGTAGTTGTTGCATTTGCAATAATAACCATCAACTGCTAAATATTATATTTACTTATCATTCATTTCTTCAAGTGGGGAGGTTTGGATAAATAAAGTTTCTTGAATCTTTAATGGTCAGTTATAAAAAAAATGTAATCTGTTTTTTTCCTCATACACATAGAATCTACCCGGTAAAATGTTATATGTTAATGAACAGTTGCAAAGTAATCATAACCACAAATGAAAGTATGTTTTCCTTCAGGCTCAGAGCCAAGACCCTCGGATGTGTGTACCGACTCTTCTTTATTTGAAAATAAAGATGACTTTAAAAAGCCCAACTTCTGATTATTTCTTGGAATTATTGGACTTGTTATGATTTGCAGTTTACATGCATATTCCTCACTTTTGTCATTTTTTGTCTATTTACCAGTCACAGGGTAAAAAACAGTGTTAAAATTCTAATAAGCTAATTCAATTTAACTGTTTTGTAGTACATATGCTAACAATCAAACCAAAAAAAACAAACAAACTTATTCAAATCTCTGTCAACGTCCGTTGGTTCAGGTGCGACTTTTCTCGCGAGAACAGAATTGTCCCACTATCGCCACCGTAGTTAGTTTCTGATGACAGAGTTGAGACAAACATGGCAAGTAAAGGGGGCAAGCAAAACCGCTCAGGCTCCGGCCTTTCGGGTAGGAAAGGCGCCGGGGACCAGGATGAAGAAGAGCAGCCGCTGCAGGCTGTTTTAGTGGCTGACAGCTTCAACCGGAGGTTTTTCCCGGTGACCAAGGACCAGCCACGGGTGAGCAGCTAGCTAAGGCTAACCGGGATGCTAGCAGCAGCACAGTGATGCCCATGCTGGAAACAGGGTGCCAGCACCGCTTAACACCGTGGGGAACCGTTTACTTCTGTATAGAAACACAAACAACAACCTGTATTTTCTCAGTATTTTCAGGAGAGACGTGTCTGCTGAGACTCTGCTTGCTCTGCTAACGTCACCTGTCAAACTCGTCGTTTCCAGGCTTTGCTGCCGCTCGGAAATGCTGCCATGATCGACTACACCTTGGAGTTCCTCACCTCCACCGGGGTGCAAGAAACCTTCGTCTTCTGCTGCTGGATGGCCAGCAAAATCAAGGCACACTTGTTGTGAGTGCTCAGAAAGCATGTGTGTGTGTGTGTGTGGGGGGGCAGAACTCGCTCCTGTGTGCTGGGTGACAGACGTTCAACCAGTGTGTGTGTGTGTATGTATGTATGTGTGTGTGTGTTTGTGTGACAGGAAGTCAAAGTGGTGTCGCCCCACCTCCCCAAACACGGTCCACATCATCACCTCGGAGCTGTACCGCTCCCTGGGGGACGTGCTCCGGGATGTGGACGCCAAGTCCCTGGTGCGGTCAGACTTTGTGTTGGTTTACGGGGACGTTGTGTCCAACATTGACGTCAGCCAGGCACTGCAGGAACACAGGTAGACAAACCCCCCCGTAAGGCTCGGAGAGGCCCCTTTTTGTGCGTTGAGCAGAGTTCATCGGCTGCCTTTTGTGCGCCTCAGGCACCGGCGAAAGATGGAGAAGAACATCTCGGTGATGACCATGATCTTTAAGGAGTCCTCGCCAGGCCACCGGTCCCGCTGCCAGGAGAAGGACGTCATCGTGGCCGTGGACAGCAGGAGGCAGCAGATCTTACACTACCAGGAGACGCAGGGGCTGAAGAAGATACAGTTCCCCATGGTGGGCGGCGGTTTGGCTGGCGCTTTGGGGGCGTACGGGGTCTGACCGGCTCGTGACGGCCGTCTCTGCTGGTGTTTTCCAGAACATATTCCACAGCGGGAGTGATGAGTATGAAATCAGACACGACCTCCTGGACTGTCACATCAGCATCTGCTCCCCACAGGTCGGCACCTGAACGGCCGAGGAACCCATAACACTTTTTATATGTGACTACACTGGTGGTTTTAATTGAAATTTTTGTTATTTTTATCCTAGGTTGCCGAGCTCTTCACCGACAACTTCGACTACCAGACGAGAGACGACTTTGTCCGAGGAATTTTAGTCAACGAAGAGGTATTGCTCAGCTTAAATGATGGCTGAATGATCCCGTTGTTCCCCACCCGGCATTTGGTGAAGCCTCCTTTCTGTTTAGATCCTCGGCAACCAGATCCACCTGCACGTCACCAGGGACGGCTACGGCGTCCGCGTGTCCAACCTGCTCATGTACGACTCGGTGTCGTCCGACTTCGTGCGCCGGTGGGTCTACCCGCTCACGCCCGAGTCCAACTTCAGCGACCGGGAGGGCCGCGCCTGCACGTACTCGCGGCACAACGTGTACCGGGGCTCCGGGGTCAGCCTGGGCCACGGCAGCCAGATGGAGGAGAACGTGCTCATCGGCCAGGACACCAGCATCGGCGCCAACTGCAGGATCTCCAACAGCGTCATCGGGAACAACTGCGTCATAGGTGAGCCCCCCCCCCCGCCTGGGAAGTCACAGGTCAGCAGTTTGCAGAAGTTTCCTCTCCATTTTTTATATTTTTTTAAGGGGATAATGTGATCCTGGACCGCGCCTACGTCTGGAACAACGTCACCATCGCCAGCGATGTGGTGATCAGGCAGTCGGTGGTCTGCGACCGGGCCGAGGTCAAAGACGGCGTGACCCTCGTCCAACAGTGTGTCCTGGCGTACAACGTGAGCAGCCAACACACGCACACACACGTTCCCTCTTTGCCGACTTTCGACGCCTGTGCCGCCAGCAGCATCGAACGTCTGATGGGATATTTGGAGAACAAGTTTTATCATCACAATTTACTGCAGGCAGAAAGAGAGGAGTAACCCAACTTAGTCCTAAATGAATGGCTTCATTTTAGCCGTAGAGCCGACGTCTTGGTTTGTTGGAAAAAACTTTGCGTTTCGATTTGTGGAAAAACACGTCAAAGTGGCCCTGATATCAGCATGTGAGCTTCAAAATTCCTCATCTGTTGGTTCCCTGCGAGCAGAGCTCCCATCACTGATTGTTATTTATTCTACATAATACCCGATACTAGGGATATCCCGATCCAGCTTTTTTCACTGCCGATCGGATACCGATCCCGGCCTATCAGAGCATGTATTAAAGTTGAAAGTTACTTATTCTACTCACTTAGTTGTCAGACTCATGTTGAACAGAGATTTACTCTTATAACAACTTAACGGTTAGGACACAGACCTGTGGGTTAGGAGATGCTAATGCTTGTTTTGTTAAAAAAAACTGGATCAGCATTTTCTCTTGCCGGCCGATATGCATTTTTTTGCATATATCGGCGGCCGATCCGATCCAAATATCGGATCGGGACAAGCCTAGCCGATACTAAAGAATCTCTGATAAAGTGATTAAACTCGATCCCTTTTCAGACTGGTTTTCTTTTATTTACCCACAAACTGCTGCTCTCCAGGTGGTGATTGGGCCGAACATCACTCTACCCAGACGGACCGTGGTGTCCATGCACCATCCGGACGAGGAGGAGGAGGAGGACGAGGACGAATTCCTCAGTGACGATGCGGCTGTGGGCCACAGCAAAGACAAAACCAGGCAGAAAGGTGGGCGCCGCCTTCCGGTTCCGGTCGTTTGCGTGTCGTTCTGGCCCGCCTGCGTGTTTCACCGAGCCTCTCCTCTCAGTTTTCAACCCGGCAGAGGTTGGAGCTGGAGGAAAAGGTTACATCTGGAAGACCGGCAGCCTGGACGACACGGAAGACGAGGGGATCTCAAAATGCATCTGGGGTGAGGACAGCGGCTCCATCCCGCCGCGGCCCTCGTGTTTTCCTAAGCGCTGAGCGGTCATTGCTTCTTGTTGAGCAGGGTTGGAGCTGAACCCGGACCCCGAGAGCGACAGTGACTGCAGCGAGCCCGACGATCCGGACGATCCGGTGATCCCCTCCCCGGAGATGGACGACGTCAATGGTCAGAGAACCGGCCTGAATGTGGACATTAGGCGTGTCCCGATCCAGCTTTTTACACTTCCGATCCGATACCGGCCTATCAGAGCATGTAGTAAAGTTTAAAGTTATTTAGCCTACTTACTTAGTTGTCAGACTCATGTTGAAAAGGGATTTACTCTGATAACAACTAGCCAGCTGAATTAAGGGAGTTTGAATTATACACAATGGATCTGACTTAAAAAAAAAAAAAACTGGATCGGGAGTCTTGATCGGCATTTTCTCCTGCTGGCCAATACGCATTTTTTGTAAATATCGATGGCCGATCCCATCCAAATACCGGATCGGGACAAGCCTAGTGGACATGTGACGGCCCCCTGCTGGCCAAAGGCACCAAATACCGATGGCAGAAAAACAAGCTTTAAGTTATTCGTATTTTTAAAGGTTTATGTGAACAAAAAAATTGGGAATCCCTCATGAGACCCAAGTAATAACGCAGCAAACTCTTTGGTTGGTCCAGTCTTCCAGATGGAGGTGCTCGGGACTCTGCAGAGAGGTTTGGAGGAGAACATCGGCTGTGACAATCTCGTTCTGGAGATCAACTCTCTCAAGTAAGTGGACAAAGTGGACGTTTCCGGAGCTCCGGTCTGCTGCGTTTGGCTCTGACCGCCGGCTCCTCTCCAGGTACGCCTACAACATCAGCCTGAAGGAGGTGATGCAGATTCTGACCCGGGTGGTGCTGGAATACCCTTTCCAGCAGCAGGGCCCACATCTCACCACCTCGCAATACGTGGCTCTGCTCCTGCCGGTCAGCGATAGATACAGCTGCTTACCGCCCCTCCCTGCCCATCCTACGCTTATCGCCTTCTTCTTTTTGGTTCTCTTCACCCCCAGTTGCTGAAGAAATGGGCCCCTGTGTTTAAAAACTACGTGAAGAGAGCGCAGGACCACCTGGACTGCCTGTCCGCCTTCGAGGAGCATTTCCTGGAGCAGCAAAGCCACTGGGCCGCCATGGTCAAGGTGAGGGTCAACGCATCCGAGCAAACCCCCCCCCAAAGCCTGAAAGGAACCGTGCAGAGGTTTCTGCGAGGTGTGACTTTGTTGCTGTTGGCAGGTGCTGATGGACATGTACCAGCTGGAGATCCTGGAGGAGGACATGATCATGCGCTGGTTCTCTCAGGGAGCCTCCACAGAGAAAAGCAGACAGCTCCGCAAGGACCAGGGGGTAGGCACTGTGTGCACAAGTGTGTGTCTGAAAAAACGATGAAACCACAGCCCAGCAGTTTCAGCTCTTTCGAATGGTTTTCATCCAACTAGTTACACACAGGGGCTGTTCAGCCAGTCCTCTCTCAGTATTTACCGATTGGTGTTTCATGTTTTCATTCGTAAACCATTGTAGTTCTGCTGTCATAGACTCTGAATCTCTAATGTTTCTCTAATGTTTCCGTCTCCTTGTTTTCCGTCATTCACTCCTGCAGCTTCAGAAGTTCATCCAGTGGTTGGAAGAAGCCGAGGAGTCCTCGGAAGGAGATGAATAGCGCGGAGCCCCTCCAGGCAGAAGACTCTGTAAACATTTCAAACTCGTGTGACAAAAGGGATTCGAATAGTTTTTTTTTCCCCTTCACAGCAGCTTTCCGCCTCCGTCAACCGCCAGGATCTGTACAGTTGAAGCAGACGACCATTTTTACCACACAGAGCCCTGCAGTGTACGGGCTGTGCCCATTCGAATAAAGAACAGCCCCTCAGTCTGCTCGGAAAGCTTTTTATTCTTTTCAATGACACGACTCATCCTTCATTTAGTCAGATATCGCGTCAAGAATAACACCCTTCAAACTAGTTGTTTTTATTTATATGCTGAATACTGATTGTATGCATACTTTAGATACAGTACAGTAAAAACCACAATCAAAGAGGTCGAGGATCCCATGTGAGCAGTCAAGTCTGGAGAGAAATGACTTAATTAAACAGCATGATATGGACTTATCATCAAATTCACAGTTTAAAAATCACAGAAGAAGGAGGAAGAAAACAAAGCATAATGGCAAAAACACTTTAAGACTGACTTGATCTAAAGCAGTCAAAAGAGAAAAAACAAACAGCCCAATAACCAGAATAGCACTTAAAATACTAACTAAAAGTTCCTTCTAGTGTTGTTGGAAGACAAATGACGGTTTCATAACACGTCACGTGCTTTGAACATTTAGAGAGTCGGAGAATGTCAGTTTTTTTGCATCAGACTAGAGAAGATTCAACTTTCAAGCAGTTGTCTGTGGCTAATCTACCCTTACAGTAACAGGTCCAGTGGCACATTAAAGCTAATTGTTACCAATGAATGATTCAAGTTGCAGATTGGTTGTGAAATCAGCTTCAGAGGCAGTATTAGGTTGGCAAAAAAAAAATCCTGATATACAGGTTCAGCAGCTTTTAAACCACCAAAATTCCCCTCACAAGAGCTATTTCTTCCTGTCGTCCTGTTTCCCAGATAAGTTATACAAGAGACAGAGTAGAATAGAGGTTCCTGTGATCCCCGTGGCAGCGGCCAGCGCCCTCCACATGCTGGCCGAGGCCTCGTGTCTGTCTATGAAGCTCCTGTAGTCGCCGGGCACCAGGACGTAGCTGCGGCCGTCCGGCGGGGCCTGGAGCCTCATGGAGTGGCCCCCTTCCAGCACCACCTCCCCGAAGCCCGTCACGGTGGTCCCCACCCGCAGCATCTCCTCGCGCTCCTCCTTCGCCACGGGCTTCTCCCCCGTCAGCTCGCTCACCACCACGTTCATCAAACCCTCCTCGGCTCGTTTCGTCCGGAAATGAACCCTCTCCAGGAAGCAGCCGGAGGCCTCCAGAGGCTTGTGCACCTTCACACAAACGTCAGAGATGAAGGACCCAGCGCTGATCAGACTAAAGGGCACCGAGTTGTTGGTCTCTTTCATGTTCCGGGTCCGAGAGTTCCTGGAAAAAACAAAAAACTGGATCAGAGCGGTAGACGTGGATAGAATTTTTTTTAATTTTTTTTTTCTCTCTAATGTACCATGTCCCAGTAGCAGCGTTCCAGTACTTCCAGTGGTCTCCCACCACAATCTTCTGAAGCACACCGAAGCACTGAGGGACGAACTGGCTGGCCAGAGGCTCCCCGTCTGCCTGAACCTGGCCTTGGAGAAAGCAAAACAGAAACTGGGACTTCTCCAAACGACTTCCACGACTGACACAATTCAAACTCTACAACAAAACATGCTTCTACCTTCTACTGCAACGTACTGGAGTCGCTTTTGGGAAGTCGAATTGAGTACATTAAGCAAATGGTGATCTGGTTTGAAAAACGGTATTTCCTGAAACAGAGATAAAAACTATTTAAATCACCATAAAACTTAAGCTGTACTGAAGGTTAAATTTTTTTATTTTTTTTTACTTACCTTCAGCTTTTGTAACTCTTTCTTTTTCTCCTTGTACAGATGATAAAAGACCCCAGAGAAGGCAAAGCTGGAGCCAATTCCGAGCAAAACCAGTGAGTTTATAGGAGAGTCCCCCATGTCTGTTTCTGTAAAGTGAAAGCATCCACATCTCCCATCAGGTGCAGCCTCAGCTAACCGCTCACAGACATGTCGGGTCTTTAAAACTCCTCAAAGTGCAGTATTATGCCAACATAAAGGGCAGAAAGTAATTAAAAAAAGACTTACCGGTTAAAAATTAAGCCGTGCAGTGTTCGCACATCCCTTGTTTAGTTCTATAACTTGAAAAAACGCTTCCTGAGTTTCTCTTCCTTGTTTTTCTAAGTTGCGTCATCGTGGTTTGACCAATAGGATTCGAGTAGCGTTTGAGCGCTGCGCGTTTTGTCCAGCAGGTGGCAGCAGTGTGGCGCGTCTGTGTGTGTGTGATGATTTTAACGGCGCCCCCCCCCCAAAAAAAACGGTATACAATTGATATCATAGCACTTACATCTGTGAAAATGAAAATGACTCCAATCCCTTGATCCACAGATGATAGAAACGTTAAGGAAAAAACAAGCAAAGGTCTTGTAAACTTGCATCTTGTGGAATTAATTTCCTAAGGCACCAGAAAAGGCTTTGTATGGAACAGAAGAGCGGAAAGATTCAATTAAGTTTTTGCATCACTCAAGGCCATGCATTTGATAAACAAGCCTATAGGTGTCTTTTGTTAACTGTTTTCATAAAACCACTTATATTTAGACCATGCCTCAGGACCGGTCCTCCTCAGAAGGCACATCTTAGCCCACAGCATACTCGGGCTTGTTGTTGTGTGGCATAGGCTGACTAATGCTGCCGATGTGAATGATTCATTTTATAGGCTGTAACACACTGCCCAACCTCATAAAGGTGGCTGGGGGGTGTTTATTTGACCTTCCCTTGATTTCTTTTAATCTATGAATGGGGGGGACACGGATAACTCATCTCTTGATGGAGAATTCTGTGCATCCTTTTCCAGCCTGTTCTTTTTTTAGAACATAATACAACATTATACTAAGAGTCTTATAATACATTTTGAGGCATTGAAAAGCTAGTGAACAATACACATACTCCCAAAAACTGATTGGTCATCTTTTTGTAACCAAGACTAAATCGATCGTTTCATTTACTTATTTGGTTAAGTTGAAAGTAGAATTTATAATTGATCCATAATTGCAAAGTGTGTGGAACATTTCTGATGGAGTTCTATAAATTTATAACGCCTGCTCCGAGTCACGTGACCCAGACACTATTATCAGATAAAATTTCTAATAAATGAGAACTTGACTGGTGGAAAGTCTCCCATCGTGATCCATACAGGATATTAAAGTTCGTAGCTCCTGGTGTATGTCGTCTGTTTCTGTTAATCTTCTCATGGCCTCTAAGATTTACCTTGTGCCCCCCCGGAGAGGCCCAGGTCACCCAGGTACACGTACACCCACTTGTGCTGCAGCTAATCCTCTGATAGCGTTTCACCGGTGACCTTCCCCGTACCCTCATGACTCACAGAGTCAAGCGTCACACACTCTGCCGGCTCCATTTTTTTTCTGCCTGTCTCTTTTAGCTGAACGACCGACTGTGTGCGGTCTGTTTCTGTTGTTATTTGCACACAAGCTTCGTCCATTGTTTCCAACCCTTCCGCTTGCTGAGCTAGAGGAAGAGCTGCTTTTACTGAAAATGTAAATTCCCCCTGTTGGAAGTTGATTGCCATTCTTCCCAGGTTCATTCAGTCACAGAAAAATAGAAGCCAATCTCCTGGAGCATCTCTGGCTCCACATCTCTGTTACTGTGTGGGAACGCATGGAGAGAACTGGCAGCTCACTTAATAATTTCTTCATTTCAAAGCTCTTTTGTCACGTTTTTTTATGCCTCCTTCTGGCTCAGGTGTTATTTCCTTCACTTCTTTTCTGCCAGTCTGACCTTGACGGCTCGGTGAAATCAGAAAACGCATTCAAAGGAATGACGTCAGTTTGACCATTGTCGGACTACTTTCCGTACAGTAAGTGCAAGCTTTCTGCAGCAAGTCTGAGTGAAAAAAAACAAAATAAAAAATAAACCTTTGATGGCCACAGACAGCTGGCGTACCTGGCCGGAAAACAGCTGTGATCCTGAATTGCTTCATCTGTGGAGGAATGCAGTGGCTTTACTGAGAGGATCCATGCGGGACAGAGCAATAAATCAGGACTAAAAAAAAAGAGCCCAAAGGGGAATTATCTCCCCTTTGGCTAATGAAATACTGTTTCTTATATCAACTGCACAAAATGGCCCAAAATCCTCCCTCCTGACTTTTTACTGCTCTAAATCCTCAGATATTTGATTTAAAGTGGTGCAGACCCCCCCTTTTGGCCATTTTGTCCATCTTGGTGTGTAAGCACACAAAGTACACTCCGCTTTGTAGCAATAGGTGTGATTGTTCGTTCTGAAACTGACCTCCATCTTTTTAGTATAATTTTGAATATCAGGCCTTACACATGAAAAAGCAATTTCTGCAAAAGACCAGAAATGTTCTTCTGACCTCTTGTGTCAGAAAAAGTTAAAAAAAAAAAAAAAGATAAAGGCATTCTTGTATCAGGATACCACTCAGTGATAAGACCAGTTGAAGGTTTTACTTTACACTGTGACTTGATAGATCAGTGGAGTCTGGTGAGGAGGTTGTTTGTTTTCCTTTTTCTTGGCACTGATTGGTGATTTTCTAACCAAGATTGGAATATAGTGATTACCCGTGACCCATCACCACCTGAAATAAGTAAAACTTTGATCAATACGCCTTTTATGCCCTATCCAGACACCCTCACCACTAATCAAATAATCTCTCGATTGTAGAATATTCTATTGTGTGTTCATTCTTAAACATCTTCATTTCCTTCTTTGCTTCTCCTCCATCGTTGCTTTACCATGCTCCTGTATTAAATCTGGATATTTTAGATAATTCCTGAACAATGAAGTTGGTCAACAAAGACACTGGGAATAATCTCTTTTTCATTTAAAGGTTGAAATGACATACCAGATCGTACTATTACGGTTTTCAGTGTATTTCATATAAACCACAAACCTCTCTGGAAGTTTGTGGGTCACATAAGTTTAGGGTGCGTGAAACTGCTTAGTATGCCGCATATCAGAAGGCTCCACTTTCAAATGATGGATGACGCGAATGCAAAGATTTGACTTTCAAACCGCTAATAGAAAAACTGGAGAGATAAGTTTGGAAAACGCCAGACGGACCCAAACAGAGCGACAATTTTGTGGCTTTGAAGTTGCCGGCATGAAACAGAACCAACTCATGTCACGGCTTTGTTAGGATTTATCCCCCCCCCCCCCGCTCATTACACACTGAAGCAAACAGTCACACACTCTCAGACGGCACACTTTGTTTTTGTTTCCCTACTGTGAACTTGATTTCCCTCAGTGGTCTTCACTTGGGCTTAATGAGTTTGATAAGTTTTTGTAATTATTATGGCTGCCCTTGATGGAGTGTCCAGGGTCCAACAGCCCTGAGTCTACTACAGCTGCTTTAAAGGCTTGTCAAGGGAATAAACACAACTCATTCAGCAATGATCATGTGCAGTTGATGCTTTTGTGAGTTATTTGTGCCCTATTGACTGATTAAGGATTTCATTTTGTTTTCATGATGGCACAGAGCTTTAAGATTGACAGTGAGTCTGTTTTTTTAATGGTAGTTAATAGTAAACAGAAAAAGAAAGTTAACTTTTTTTTTACTTCTCAGCATAAATACAAACCTTTCATCAAAAGAAGCCCTTTTTTATCCGAGACGTGTGCTTAATTGTGTGCATCACACAGCCACAAAACACCACTGGCAACTTTTCTAAGAGACTGGTAAACATTATAGGGTTCTGAATGCTGCAATCATTTCATCACCCTCATCGTCGTTACACGAGGAGAGCTTCTATCAAATCTGTCTCATCTCTAACAAATAAGCCAGTTCTGAAATATTTTTGTTTTTGACAGTTTGCTTTCACATAGACATAAGAAAGATTAGGACAGATGCCCAGTGCAGGAGAAGAAAGCTCTTCTAATACGCAAATCCTGCAGAATGCACTCTGCAGAACTACAAATCGTCACCGCACGCCACCAAAGGAGCCACTGAAAGCACGGCCCCAGTTTTCCCGTTGTTATAAGCTTCATTACGACTGGAAAAAAGTCAGATCGGTTCTTTTCACATTGTGCTGCGACAGCAACAATCAGACACACACACATACGGGCACGCTGCCTGTTTTCAGCTTTTGCCTTCCAGTGAAGAATGCACGACAACACAAACCAATTTAGTCCTCCCGCAATGCTTTTTGTGAATTTCTGAGCAGGATTCTCCACGGGATGTTGAGATAAACCTTCAATTAGGGTGTGAACACGTGCGCACAATGTGTAATTCTCTCCCTGAAAACTGTTGCGTTACTTCATCCTGCTGCATTTTGCCAGCTGTGATCCACATCTGGGAAGTTCTTCCATGTATGAGGTTCATCTCAGCGTCAGAAGAATTTTTAAAAGTCTGAAATAGGACTTAAAAACTTGTTCTGGCACCAGGGATCACAATTCAAAGGAAATAACACATTTCTGTGTATCATGAATAAATACTGACTTACGTTGGGATTTGACGCTTTAAAGATAAACCCTGACTGAATTCAGCTGAAATGCAGCCTGTCAATGATTTACTCTGCTCTGATGTTACTCAGCTATGGAGGGAATTCAGAGTCTGGTTTGTGGTCATGTTTAAAAAGTTTCTATCGGTTGTATTTGGACATCTTCTTTTTTAAAAAGTCATATAAAGAGAACGTAGGCTGAGTGGGGTCCTGCTGAGCAACAAAACGCCACATAAAACACAACACAGTGTCATTTCTTTAGAGAAACCTGAGTCAGACTGCGGAGGCAGCGTGTGAGAACCTGAACAGACTTCACGGTGACACAGGAACTAGTAAAGGTTATCATGTTCTGTTTGGGTCATCGTTGTGGAGGAAGGACGGCCTGCTCTTCTACAGGGAGCTGCTCCAGTACTGTACATGCACAGCTCCCTTAAAGTCCGACCCCTGCTTTTGGTCAGGTGAAGGCCTGGACTTTGACGGGACATTCTTTCCTTTTCCATACATTCTGTTGTAGACTGGGATCGTTTTCCTTTTTTTATGGGTCGGTTTCCGCCCCACGGCTTCAGATTTTGACTGCGGGATAATTTTGCATTGTGCACAGCCACAGGGTCTGGATCATAAGGTGTCCAGGTCCAGAACGCTCAGTCTGTGCTGTTTGGCTTTCACCAAAACTTGAAACATGAAGCTGTCCATCATCACCAAACATCTCCACTTTCCACATCTCTACCACGACCTGCAGAGTCTAACATGAATGTAAGTTTGAATGTTTTACCAAAGCGAATAACCTTTCAGTCTGTTCCGATTTGTTCAGAAATGGCTGCTACCTATCAGTTAGATGCTCAGTTTTCTCACACGCTGCTTCTACAGTTTGCTTCTTGAATTAGAAAGTAGTGTAGAATGGTGCCAAAAGAGGCGGCAAATGAGAAGAATTCATTTTGGAAGCTCAACAGATGTCAGGCACCGTGAGATTTGGGTGGTCGGGTTTGTTTAAGGACTCAAATTACTGTATTAAACACAAGTGGGTCCCAAAGTATGACCGAATTTTTTAGATTAAACACAGAAAGGGAGCTCAGACCACAACCTGTAACACGATATGAGCCTCCCAGCTTGTATTTCTGTTGAAAATAACACAAGTGCTGAAAGCCAACAGGTGATTTCATTTCCAATTAAATATTAACTAATTATATAATTAAGCCAATAAATGTTTAAAGACGGGCAAAGATCACACATGTGAATTCCCACACTGAATAGCAGCCTAAGAGTTTAACAAAGTCCAAAACCCTCTAAACTTGATCCAAACATCCAGATTGGACAAGACGCACAGTCATTATAGTTTATTTCGTTGCTGGTTTGGTGTATGATAAAAACGCCTTCTACATCCTCATCTACTTAGCCACCGATGTTCAGTGATGCTCGTTCATTGGTCACTTGTTGACTTTTCAAGGTAACGCTGGAATAGGAGGAGGAAGAGGAGGTGGAGGTGTGGGGAGGAGGAGGAGGAGGACCCTCGGCGCGCAGCGCTCCTCTCCACCGAGCGCAAAACGCACCGCGTCAGCAAAGGGAGCCATTCAAACCTGCCCCGGAATACCAGACCAAGATTTTGAAATAGTACTCACATTTGTGTCATTTAGAGGAACATGTCGGGGCGCATTCCGCGCGGCTTTTCGCTTCTCCTCTCCTGGATGTTGCTGGAACCCGTGAGTACATTTAGACCGTTGAGTTTTTTCACATGACTGAACTTGAGCTGGTTGTCAAGCAGGAGACAAGGTGACCATGTAGACATTTTTCAGTGAAAATCTGAGGACTAATTTGAAGGGATACGCACGCGGGGCGCTCCCCCAAAGTATCCGTGGCGCAACAATGTGGCCTCGTGCGCATCTGGCCCCATGAATTGGTCAGCGGCTGTGGAGAGAGGGATGCAATTAGATGGCAGAGGTTTTTTTCTTTCTACTGTCCGGCAGAGAGAAACCAAACCTTCGAGCACCACCAGCAGTTTGTTTAATGTTTGACACCCCTTTTTGTTTTGGCATTTGTTTTTTTTGCTCCGGTTTCTTTTGTTAAAAGAAGCTGGTTGGTCTTATAGCAGGACACCATGGCAACTGCTTTCTCTCAGCCTCTGTCCTCTCTGGTTTCCACCTTTATCATCAACTAAAAAGTCCTCACTGAGCATTCATGAAGCACGCTGGAATCCAGTTAGAGGTCAGAACCCTTTGAGTTGCCGAACAGAAAATGTGCAGATGTGCAAGCTATGTTTCCCCTTCCTGAGACGCAGGGGATGCTATTAGAGCTAAAACTGAGACCATGATCACGATTATCCTGCTCAAAGTTCCCTTGCATTGCTTTAAATTACAAAACTGAAGGCAGCTCTGATCAATCAAAGTCGGCGTACGGTATTGCCTAATCATCTCTGTGGGGGAAGTATCATATGAGGGGCGGTATTGCCTGGGAATTGAGATAAATTACAACCTATGAGGGAGTCACCTTGTGTATACGGAGGAGCTGGAGTCATATAAGCTCATTTTTGTAGCTAACAATCGTCATGTACCAATAGACTGATTCATGCCCACAGAGATGAGATTCATCCAGCTAAGTAAGGCTAATAAATCTTCTGTTATTGCAAAGGAATCTGTATAAACTGTCTTGGTGTGTTTACATGTCCACTGGTGTGACGGTCACAGACTTTGAAGGGTTGACAATTTAAGCGTCGTGTTTCCCAAATTGTCCTGAACTTGAGACCTTAAATGTAGACGGGGAGATGGGCAGAACTATTCTACTCCCCCCTTACGACTGTGCTTGCTAAAGCCAAGCAGAATGGCGGATGTTTCACAGAAAAAAAACACAGAAAAAAAACAACACTAGTTCTGCTTCTGCTTTGGTCTGACTGAACGCATGTTGACCAGCTCAAGAGTGCTGACGACAGATGTGTTGCGGACCTTTGACAGAAAAAGTCTCGGGCCAGAACCCATTTCTTCATAAAGTTCCAGAAAAACAGGAAATAGGTGCAGTGACTTGTAGAAACAGGAGCATACATATGACAATATAATATATAAGACAAAAAATTGTGTCTTTACACTGTTAACAAGCTTGAAAGTCAATATTTGAACAACCATCTGTATTTTCTTCAACAGATTAAACCCTCCTAGACATATTTTACTGTAGTTTATTATATCCAGGCTTCTTGAAGGGCATTCAGAAGCTCTTCTTGGGATGTTCCTTACCTTTTCTTCCGTTCTCTGTCAATATGATCACACTCCGCTTCGGTGAAGCTGCAGGTCCAGGCTCTGGGGAGAAGTCATCACTCCTTTAGAGCTGAAGCCACTGATTTTCAGTCCAGTTCTCGTGTCATTAGTCATACCTCGACTTTTCCTCCCTGTTTCCTCTCCTTAGGAATGGCTTCTTGACAGCCACCCTTCCATGGAGACCATTTCTGATGAGACTTAACATTTGTCAGACCTCTGTCAGGTCTTTCATGGATTTTTTGTCTCTTTCTTCACATCCCTTACAGACACTGTTCATCTGCTGGAGTTCTTATGCCACTCTTTCTTTTTGCTCACCACTTGTCTAGATCCCTGAAATAATTTCCTTTGGATGCACTTTTATATCGTGCTGATATATGTTTAATTTAGTGGTGAAAAAATAAAATGATTTCATATCTGCCGCACTGTGATATCTTCTCTGTTTCCATAGATAAAAACGACAGACAGCTCACTACAATCTAAAGTGGGCTATTTGTTGAGCCGTTTGTCACGTATAAAGCAACACTGGTTCGTGGGTCACTATTTATTTGCCTGACGGCCAGAAAACATGTTCCTCTGAACATTGTCAAGGACCGAAAAAAAAAAGAGTTAGAAAACACAATTGCTGTAGAAAAAACCTTCAGAAGGCCTGGATAGATGTCACTCAAGTACTTAAAAAAAATAAGAAGAAAACTGTCGGCTTCTGAGGCAAATATGAAATATTAAACACGCATGTAAATGATAGCATCCATCCATCATCCATTTTGTACACTGTGTATTCCCAAGCTGTTTTTGTGGGGCCACCTCCTGGCACCGCTGAGTATTCTGAGCAACAGTATCCATTTATTAAAATGCTTCTGGTGTTTTTTGTGACCTCTCTTGCAAAGAACCTGTATGGAAATTGTACAGAAAACACATGTTTTTCTCTCCAGGTGTTTCCTGCTCAGAGTCCAATGTGTGACCTGATTCTGGAAATAGACAGGGAGAAGAGCATGTGTGCGGCTCAGGCTGAAAACAGAACAACAGGTACGTGTGTGTGTGTGTGTGTGTGTGTGTGTGTGTGTGTACGTGTGTGTCTACCTTTACCTTATTTCAGTGGCTGCTTTTATTTAGTTTCATCTTCATTTTTAAACAACTGAAGTGGAATCCTGTAAAGACAGCAGCTTGACAAAGACAAAGCTAACCAATTGTCTCCAAGGCTTCACAGCAGGCTGGACACTGTTTCCCGCCTAACTCCAGCCCCTCGTCACATGTTTGTGTTATAGTTCAATCTATTTGAGTGCAGACCTGACAGCTTTAATCAGAGTTAGAGCCCTTTCATACGTATGCAAACGTCTTTGTGGCTGGACCACAAGCCAGAAATCTGTAGAAATCTGCAAATTCACAGGATGCTGATGATGAAAGTGTTGGAGAGGCAGACTCCACTCAGGTTGAAAACAAAGGACCAAAAAGAAAGAAACAAAGATTTACAGAGAGGAGGACGTAGGAAGAAAGGTCACGTTGCTCATTTGTTGTCTTTAGACAGCTTTCAATCAGCTTGTTACTAATAAGTTGGTGCTTGTTGTTCATGATTAGGTTCAGTTCAATCAGGATTTAGCTCCACAGGCCATTGTCTGGATGTGACTGACAACTTGTTGATGCCAGGACTGTGTTCATTTTCACACGGGACCTAAGTCATTAAACACCCATTATCTTTTTAATTTAGTCATCACTTTCACATGCGTGGATCCCATTCCAAATAACACGCGGCCGAGGGAGTTTCCATCCTGATAAAGTGTCGAGCAGGTGTGTTTTGACCGGGCTGCGGCCTGATGGGCCACAAACTGAGCGGAGGCACAGCGATCTGTTGAATTCAAATAAGAGTGTGTGACGAAGGACGAGGGGACTGTTTCAATAGTCATGGTGGCAGCGAGTTACCTCAGGTTATCTGCAGTTATGGACTGTAACGACAGCCAATAATCCTACGCGGCTTGGCTGCCATGGAAACCTCCACCTTCACTTTCAACAGTCCACTAGTTTTTCACCCGAGTGGATTTGAGTTTCAGCAGCCGTGAAGCACCTAGCAAAAAATCCTCATTTTGCTCTCCGAGTCGTCGCAGTGTCTTTGCTTGAATATTGATGACACGGCTTTCCCTTTGGCCTCTCTTTCTCTGTGTTAGGTTGCAACGCGACATGGGATAAAATCACCTGCTGGCCCAGCGCCGACATCGGAGAGGTGGTTACCATCCCCTGCCCCAAATATCTCTTTTATTTCTCCAGGGACGTACCTCCACGTAAGAATCCAGCTTGAAACATTTATTTTTCTGATTCCACCTCAGCTGCCTTTGTTTCACTTTTTTATTTGTGCACATTTGCTCACATTCATTATCATTTATGAGATAATCGTTTTGTCATATCACGTAGAGGGGTTTATTGGTAAATATAGGTCTTTCTATGAGTACAATTGCATGAAAATAAAAAATATTTTTTGCTATATTTGAGCAGGCAGCTCATGTTAACAGATACATTTATCCTCTTCCAGGAAGCCCTCTTTTTTCCCACTGTGTGCCAGTAGCTTAGATCAGAACAAAACGATGCCTCCAGAGTGGGACGATTGTTCCTCCATCAGCGTCAGAAAGAAAAAAGCAACATGCCCTTAGATTTAGCTAAATTCTGCCTAAGATTGAGCAACAGCGGCATGATGTGTGAACCCATCCCTGGAGCCTTTGTAGGAGCACCATACATCCTGTCCCTTACAGGCTGGAGAAAATTAGCATCCCTAGTTGGTCAAATACTATAAATACAGTTTCACTATAACTTTTATTACTGCAATATGAGATGCAGTGAGACTTAAGGTTTCATTGTGTTCTCTCTAATATAAAGTTCTACAGTAGCAGTCTTTATCAATTTAGATTTGACTTGAAGAAGTCAGAGTTCTGTGTGATTTAGTTTATATTCATGTCCTTTCTGAGCATGAGAGATGGGCCACAGATCCCCGTTCTGTAGCTGTGGAGCAACGCTGGGCAATGTGTCCTGGGGTTGCATCAGATGATTTATCTGATTTTTTATCACAAGTTTATCAGAGAATAGAATCTAATGTCTGAAGAATCAAACCATAAATGAAAATACATTTCAGTCTGATATGTAATTGGTCCCTGTGCAACGATGAGATATTGCTTTTATGTAGCTACATGATAATTATAAGTTATGGATATTGAAATGTAAAGCAGTCTTAGGCTTAACACTGTGTGATAATAGCTGGACGTACTTTAATGGTGTGTTGCTGAAGTGTGTAATATGTTTATATCAGGAAATCTTTGCAACACAATTCTAAATGTTCAAATATCACTTCTAGTGATTCAAAATGTGGGGAATTGTCGCTTGTTCAGGTTGTCGTTTTGCTTTCCTCATCCAAGGCCTTTTGGCTCTGAGAATTTGGATTGACTCCTAATACATTAAAATCCCACAGATTAAGAGAATTATCAACCACGGGGTGAATATAGAAGATCATTAATGTCTTTAAGAGCCAGATGTTTCCCTCAGGAATGAATGGAAACCAAAGCTGTGCTAAAAAGATAATAGACTTATTTTTTAAACTGATAACCCCCGGAAGAAATTAAAAAATCCAGACTGAAAATGGACTTTGTGGATTGATCGTGTGGTCAGTTACGTTCTGAATACAGCAGCTTGCTTACACACGGCCCAATGCGAGCCAAATGATGCCACAATTCGTACAGGTTTTTTTTAAGGCTCGCTGATCCTCCTCCAACGGTTCCCAAAGAGGAGGTTTAATGAATCTGTTTTGGTCTTTTGTCTTCAACAACAAAAAAATGCTTAAACCGCCTAAAAATATTACCGCAGCGATTACGATTCACGTTTTCATGCCAGTCCTGTAAATTATTCACATCCTTGAGTCTTAGATTAAAATGAAATCTAAGAGGATGTGGTGGTGGCTGTGGCTGAGTACAGGATATTTAAAAGAATAACAGACAATACCAGCGTGCCACTCATCTTCTTCCTTCCGTTTTATTCCTTTTGCTTTTTTGTGTTCCAAACAGTCCCTGCTCTTGAATCCCTGCCAGTATCATCACACGTCACATTCAAAATAGGAAAACAGGAATTATGGAGTGAGCTGAACGGCCAGCAGATTAATGGTGCCGCTCTGGTCCGTGGTCACTTATCTCTCCCCGACTCTCCGTCTGAAATATGGAAAAGAAAACAAAAACAAACGAATAATCAGAGCGTTTGGTTCAGTTCAATTACAAAAGAGAAAGAACTTCCTGCCCCGACACCATCATCCAGCCATCAAAGACACTCGCTGTTTGTTTGTCCTTCTTTAATCTGCGTGAGCCTCACAGGGAAGTGAGGCTAATTATGCAGAGAAGGGAAAACACTGTACAGAGAATATACTACATGTAGTTTCTCAGCTTATCCCCCCAAGAGTTTCCTGCATTTCTTAATTTGTAGTTAATTACCTCACGAGTCTCCTTAGAGGAGACTTAAGACTCAGATTAGTTGTTTATTTGCATTCAGCAGGCAGAGAAGCCTCAATTTGAAAGTGAAGCCTTGAGAAATGTTAGAAGAGTCTGCGCTAGCTTAAATTAGTTTAGAACTTTTCAGCTGCACGGGTTCTTTAAAGCTTCACTTCTTTCTTTTATCTCTTTGAGTAACTTGTGCATGCATTAGCACAAACTGTTAAATGTGCCTCTACCTCCTCCACATTTAACATGTTCTGCTTGAGGATAACTTCGACTCATGCTGGTCAGGAATGCAACGTGTCTGTTTTTGTTCTTGTGAGGGATAACCTGTTTGCAGACATTTTCCCTGGACAGCCTCAGCACCACAGAGTAGATCTTAAAATATATAGCAGGCACCTCATTTTCCATCCACATGTGAGTTCTCAGGTTCCCTTGAACTGCATCCTCTGACCAAAGAGAGGATCTGTATCCTCTTTCCCGCCCCTTTCCCTAAATTCCATTGAAATATTTCAACTTTTACAGTGGATTTTGGGGTGAAACTCCACTGTGTGCCAGGAAGGTTAATAAAAGATTGAGCTCACAGGGTAACTACTAGTGTGTCAGTTGAAAAAAAATCCAATTAGCCAGCATTTGTTCTTAAACATGATAAGCTGTATCATTTGCATTTTGCACACAATGTAATTTATGCATCTTTTAACAGTGTCGTCTATAAAAAACCATCAGGAAGACCAACTCTTTCAACAAACAGCAGTAAGCTCTGCTTTGCATTATTAGCATAATTCAGTCAGGGGAAAATCCATGCACATATTCCAATAATTGGAATTGGAAAACTGGGGTAGCTTGTCCTTTTGAAAATATTTGTAATTCCTCTTATGCAAAAAAGAAGCATTAGATTAAAAAAAAAATGATGTCTAAGGTTAGATAGTTTCTTTATTATGCTTTCTATACTGCAACCTGCTTTTTAGTTAGATTTTATTAATGTGGTGCTCCTTAGAGCTCATGAACACAAAACTTTGGTCAGCAGTCTGATCCTGTTTGAAAGTTTGGCTGAGGTATTTCAGCTTGGATCATTTCATCTTCTCTTTACTTTTGCCCCGGTCCATTTGGCATCCATCTAGTAGTTTAACTTTTTTTTTCATCCACTTTATTGAATATTTCAGTTTTAGTTTAAGTGAAATTTTGCCTCTTTGTTAAAAATGTTTTTTTTTTTTTAAAAAGGCAGTGTTTTTGATTTACAAATTACATATGGTTTCAGTCAGTTGTGGATTAAATACAGAAAAGGACGTCAGACTTTCACAAGTGTTTACAATTTATGAAGAATAGGATTCAAATTAGAAGACGCAGAAGAGTCGAAGAGTTCAACCAGATATTAATTAAAAACAGATCCTCTATGTATGTTTCTGCCTCCGTGTAGTTACACCAGGTTTCATGCTTCAAGCTCCCGGTGTTTCATCACCTTTGCGGTTTATTTATCAAGGTTATTATCTCAAATGTCACCTATAAGTGATTGCGGTGCTTATACACTCTGCTCGTTGCTTTAATGCCGACAGGACTTTTTTCTGCATCATATTTTACACATCAGAGAGGGTCAAAGCAAGGATTTATCATGGACGTCTGGAAGCTTTTCGCAGAGAGGAAGGCTTCTGTGGGAAGCTGTGCTGTGACCCAGATGGGAAATAGTGTGACCTAAGCTAGGATAGCACTCCAGGGAAAAGAGGGAGGAAGATGAAGAATCGCCCGATTTGTGAGATTCAAGGCAGAAGAAGAACATTTCTCCAAAATGTCAACAGTTCGCAGAATCAACAGGTCGTAACTCGCTGACGTTTGTCGGGACGGTAAACAGCCTGAAAGAGAAGTCGCTCCAAGTGACCTTTGTAGCACTGATCCATGTAATGTTAATTATGTGGTAAATCACGTAATCAGTGAAGGTGTGTGCTGGTTAAAGCTTCAGGTCTTGTAGGAGGAGTTAACAAGGGATTATTAACTGTGACGGCACCTGTGCTATCTGTTGTGCTTTTTAGAGAAACTTGATGATAGTTTTTCAGTAAGGTTAATTCAAAACATTTTATTTTTAGTCAATATATTATATAAGAATGAAAAAAAAAACAGTCAAGCGCCCCCATCTGAGGAGGTTGTGCTAGGCTTAAGCTATTGACACAACCTGAGCCGTCCATTTTGACGAAGCTCAGGCATTAAAAACAATCATTACGAAACGCGGCGCCACAGAGATTCAGGGGGCCGGGTCATAAATTTAGCTAAGATAGCTCGCCGTTCTCATGAACCGAGCGGGTCCAGCACAAACATTCAGTCATTCATCTCCTTTAATAACACCGAGGTCTCACCGTCCCTCCGGCGTTATGGTGACAGAGTGCCGGGCTGTCGGTGGATCCACCTACATGCCGACACACAGCTGAATCTGTCGAGGTGTCCCTGAGGGAAAACCTTCCAGAGTTAAAGGGCCCGGAGCAGAGGCCCACACCGGGCCGTCTGAGAAGCGAGAGCCTGTAAATAAAAAAACGACAGACTAATTTGAGCCTCCTCGTTTTTGGCGCATGAAAATCCTTACAGTCATGTTTTTGGGGGAATGATGAAAGCATTCTTTCTGGCAGGCCCTCAAACAAGCCAAATCCAGTGGTGGCATGGGCTGAAACAGCAGGGGCTTATCTTCAGCCTTTGTGTCTTGTCGTGTTGTTTGAAGAGGCTAAGCCCTCAGTCTTCTCAGCAATACGCCGGCAAGGTATTTGTGAGCCGACCGACATTTTAATACCAACTACATTCTAAGACTTGGGCTTGTCGGTCATTTCCCAACTCCATCTTGATCTGATAGAGGCCGCACGGGATCAACGGAGTTGGGAAATGTCTGGAATGTCCAGCGTTTTGGATTTCTGTGGCAGAATTTAGGCCACAGATAAAGCTGTCAGCAGCGCGCACAGGTTTCTTTCTTTGCGTGTACCAAAAGGAGATAAGGGAATGCTAGTAATAAATATTGCACAACAACATACCTGTCAGCCTTTCTGACATCTGCAGGATCACATACAGCCCACGAGCAGACAGTATTCACAGGAAGCGACAGGGATTGTCCAAAATCTTGGGAAAAGACTAAGGCTGGGGATATTTTTCTTTAACCGCATGCATCTTAAGTGCAGGGCAACCAGGAATAATATTTCATTTAGCTAAGTGCAGCACATTGGAGAAAAAAAAACTGAGAAAAAAGAAAACTAATCTAATTTAGTTTCTCTCAAATTGGGTGTTCTTAAGTTCTGAAGTGATACCCCAGATCTGGATAATCATTAATTTGCTTTGATATGGAGAACTTTGCTGATGAGGGGATTAGTTCAGATCCATTCACATGTTTATTCATTTCCCCCCCATTTTCTTCCCCTTTAGTCTGTTGTAGAGTACAGCCCTGAAGTTTTTTTTTACCATGCACTGAGAGCTTTACTGTAATCTGCTGAGCTCCAGTCCATTGTGCTCCACCGAGGTTTAGCCAAGTGTAGTCTACACAGCCCTGCTTTCCTCTGAGGGCTCAGGTCTACGGGCGCTACCCAAGTCTAGCCTTTTATCCACACTCCACCGAAAATCAAGCGCAAAGTGGGAAAAACATGGCAGCTCTTCGGCTTTGTTTATTTTCCCCTTTTCAGCCGACGCACAAAACCAACGTCCTTCACTTAGCTGAGGAATCATATAAAAAGATCAAAAACCAGAGATATAGAATGACTCCTTCAGTTTGTTAAGTCATGTGAAGCCGTATTTGACAGACAACAGTCCAGCAGTGAGGCCACTGGAGCTTGGTGTGTTACAAAAGCTGTGTTCTGCTTGTGTAACGTCCAGGACGAGAGGAGCTCGTCTCCTCTCGGCCGGCAGTAATGCACTTGGTCCTTTCACCTCTTTGCCCCCTGGGCAGGCCAGAGTGGGGGCATCTCTGCCTCTGCACAGGCCTCCCGATGTGTGTGAGTGATGTGCAGCCCAAGAAGCCGTTGCGAAACAGATGGAGGCACAAACGCACAAGGGGGACGTCTCAACATCTCGTAATGAGATGCCGCTCCTTCCTTTTTTGCTTTTAGCATTTGGAAACCTTCCGCAGGGACTCCGTCATCTCTGTGTGACACGGGTAATGAGGAAATGTGGGGAGCAATGAACTCCCGTTTGGAAACACATGCGTATTTTTGCGCTCTTTCATGAAGTCTCCACCCTCTCTCCACCAGGTAATCTGTCAAAGGCCTGCACGGCGGGGGGGTGGAGGCCAGTCAGCATGGACTCCTATATAATGGACTGCGGTTACAACCCCAACCACACCGCGGAGGAGAGCTCGGTGAGTACGGCAACCCGCTGCTGCTCGACTCAAATGTCAAGCCGCCTGCATGTGGTGTAATGGAAATGTGCGCTTGCAGGGGGACTTCTACAGCGCCATACAAGTGGGTTACACCGTGGGTCACAGCGTGTCGCTGGTTTCCCTGACGGTCGCCATCGTCATACTGTGTCTCTTTCGGTGAGGAGATTCGTCCAGTTGTTCTTCAGTGTCCCGGCGTAAAAAAAAACCCTCGTTCATCATCAAGGGCAATAAAAGCCTGCCGGTCCCGCGCCTCGCGCGCTACGTCCGGCTTTTTATAGAGGTTTTACAGTGTTTTTCACGCAGTAAGGGAGGCCGGATTCTGCAGGGGGGCGTTGTCCGAAATGACACATCCGCCTCGATGTGTCAGAGCAGTCAGCCGCGAGCAGCTGTTGAGTCCAACTATAAAGTCAAACCAATTAGCCGGGAAGCTGTTGTTGTCACCATGTTCCCTCTTCCACCATATGTCCAGGGGCTCGCAGAGAAAAGGCTAATGCCACACTGACCGTTCAAAAGGTTAAACTGATAGTTGTTGGTGTGTGGCCTCGGTTTACTTTAGAACTGGGGCCAAACAACGAGGCGTGTGTTTACCCCTTCGGGGTTGGGAAACGCCATGGGCCTGTATTCTGGAGCAGAGACACAGGATGTCAACATCCTCGGCTCTTGATGTTCGGCCTCGGACGCTCGGTGGGGGCAGCTGGTTAATGCCGTGTGTCGTCCTGCCATCAGCTCAGTGGGAAGGCATTTGTTTGAAGGCACCCAGAGGAGGACATTTACATTAGCGAGAGCTTATCTGCCAAACTCTTAATTCGCCCCTTGTATACTTACTATGGTGAAGGTCAGGTTAGTCGTTTCATTTATTTATTGATCTATTTACTCTGGAGTTGTTTCTGCCGGATAATCACAAACCCTTCAGTGGAAACTAACGAACGAGGCCCACATGTAATCAGTAAGAGTCATTTTCGGAACACATTTTACGTGAAGAACGTAAACAGTTCTTCAATTCTGTCAGAAGATACAGATTTTTTCAAGAGTTTTTAATGGCCCGCCCCTCCTCCAGGAAGCTGCACTGCACCCGAAACTACATCCACATGCATCTGTTTGTGTCCCTCATCCTGAAAGCTGTGACGGTTATTATAAAGGATGTGGTCCTGTATGAAGACAGCGAGGCGGACGCCTGCCAGTCACTGGTGAGCACTGGTTCACTTCCACCTTTTTATTATTATTATTTTTTCAAAAATCTGTTTATTGTCTTTTACAATTCAAAGAGACATACAGACAAATAACTCACAAGTGCACAAAACACCTAACAAAATTAAAAGAAGAGAAAACACATTAAAAATTTAAACATTCAAGGTGACCAGCATTAGTTGATTACAGTGAGACAAAATATTTTAAGATTGATATCTCCGGGGAGTATGTTGAGACTTAGTTCAAGAGATTTAATCACAGTCCACAGGCTAGGTATGAGGTGAAGGCAATGTCCTCCCTGTTTCTATGCATCCCAACGTCAGTGTTTAAGTTTCATACATTTTTGAGCAAGTGAGTACATTTGGAATTAACATGAAGATAACACACTTCCACTTTTTTATGTTTTTTTTCACATGAAAATAAAAATACCGGATCTTTGGTTAGTTTAAAGGTTTTTTGTGTCAGCACCTGAATGGTTTGGCTTAGTCAGGGCTGGAAATGGGATGAATAGTTCCTCTGATTAATAAGAACGCACACCATGTTCAACCTGCCATCGTTCAATCAGCTGAGGGCAGAAGGTTTAGTGGCCATGTACCAAAAATTATGATTCAATAGATCCTAGAACAACCTGCGGCAGAAGCAGTGGCTGCAAGTAGCCGTTTTCTGTAAAACTTTATTGGGTCTCACCTCTTTCACCGAGGTGTTTGTTTGATTCCAGCTCTCTTACGGTCCCTCCGGGCACAGTCAGGTTAAAGTGCAGACCTCGACTGGTTCACTATGATGTCTCGGTTCTTCTCTTTTTCAGCCATACGGCTGTAGGTTTCTTGCTGTGTTTGGAATCAGCCCAGTTTCAGTCGGTTTAGCCGTCACACAGATGGCCTCACATCTGACTGTAAAAGCCTTTGGTGTACAGAAGGGGTCAGGGTGGGCTAAATGACCTGGTATCCAGGTTCTGTGGCTGAAAAACTAGCCCAAATCACTGAATCCGCTGCAGCGCTTTTTGACTCTGTGGTTTGCACGGATCAGGAATGCACCGATCGGGAAATTGTTGGATATGGTGAAAAAATAACCATTTGCCGATGCAGATTATTTTTGCCACTTTGTTCTCCGTTAAATATCAGTGAAACATTGAAAAAAGCTTAATTAAAGTATAACAGAAGAGCTGTCATCACAACATCTCTAAATGAGCACAAGTTATTTTGGACAAAGGCATCAACCACAATTTATTCCAACCTTTTCACATTCGAAAAAATTCATAGTGGGAAAAGTAGCCTTTTCAAAAGCCCTTTTGTTCTTTTAAACTATTGCCAGCTTGATGACCTGAGTACTCAATTGGCCCAGAAAAATGCACCTTACAATAATTAAGGGACTGCTATGGAATTGGGCTGCTAACATTTGGATGTCTGCCAGTCCGGACAGTTTCAGAGGAGTCGATTCAGTGGAGACTGAGATGCATCTAGATGTGTGTGATTAGCAGAATCTGGCTGCTCCTCTGAATTCCTGCGGAAACAGAAAGAATGGACCCAGACTTCACACTCTGCCACTGTATGATAATGACACAGGTCGGTGTTTCGTGTGTCTGAGGTTGAACATTCGTCGTTAAGTCCTGATATGCAACATTTCAGGTCATTTGACTGATTTTCCTTCCAGAGGCTCCATGTCATACTTCACTTTTTACAGTACGTAGTTCAGGCAATATATCTCATTCAGACTTTACTGACTTAAACACATTGTTTCAGAGTTTACTTAACATTTTGGGTGTAGCAGTGTTTGCCAAGTCCTCTCCACTCCTGGGCCGACGCTTTCCATTCATCTGTTAAACAGGATGTTGTGAGAGTTCCTGTTTGCACAACATTAAACCTGGACTGCAGATAGCTTTGTCAATAAATCACTTTCAAGGCTCTGACGTGAGGCCTGAATCACTTTATCTGGGCAACAATTATACCGTAAGTGCTGAGTGATTATCCAGTGACGAACTCCTGGAAGCAGCGAGACTTCCTACATATTAGTCGTTTTAATCTCGTGTGACGAATAAAACCACCAACGTGAGCGTTGTTTTCTCAGATCACGCTCCGGCTGAATTTATAGCTTTATTTCAGAGAACATTGTAAATCATCTGTTTTACTATCTCTTAGCACTGCTCCTTAATGGCCGAGTTTAGATATTTCCTCTTTGGGTTACACAGATTGTTCTGCTCCAAACACAGCTGCTCAATCTCCCAAATGTTTTGAACTCATCTATAAAGACTGTCTTAAGAAAAAAAAACATACTAAAGAGAGTATGGCGCTGGAGCACAGGAGGGAGCAGACTTTAATCATATTTCCCACCCCTGGTCTTCCAAAGTTTCCCTCCTCCAGCACACCTGCTCCACATGAATGGTTCCCTATCTGCCTTCTGCAGAGCCCAAATAGCCAAAGAGCCTGAGAGCTGCCCCATTTAACTCAGTCAGGTGTGCAGGAGCAGGGAAACTTGGAGGAGTGAGACACACAGCTTTAACCGATGCTCGATTGGAGATGTGAAACAGGTGCTCCTCCAAGCTGCCCCACCCAGCCTGAAATAAGCTACGAAGACCAGCCAGCAAAGATTAGAGTTGATTGAGCTTTAATCCTAAATGCAGAAATGTCTGTATATGCATCACAACAACAGAGAGACACCCTGAGAATCCCCTGTATTCCGTCTCAGCTCATTTTGATCAGTGAATTGCCAAATCGTGAGATCGGTCGGCCATCGATATCATTCCAGGAACAAGATTCCTTTGAGGCATGTGTGTGTGTTTTAGGTCGGCTGCAAGGTGGTGATGGTCTTCTTCCAGTACGGGGTCATGGCGAGTTACTTCTGGCTGCTGGTGGAGGGCATGTATCTCCACGCGCTGCTGGCCGTGTCCTTTTTCTCTGAGAGGAGGTACCTCTGGTGGTATATTCTGATTGGCTGGGGTGAGTGTTTCGCATACTCTGACGATCACGGGCAGCCTGGAGAACCTCATCCTCACTTAACCATTGTGATCACACTGCAGCTGCAAGGTCTCCCGCATTGTTTTCTCCAGCCTATATTCATGTGTGCCCGTATTAATTATTAATCATGCTCCGGAAAAATGCTGAGCCTTTTCCATCTCCACAGAATCCACGTTTTTCTGGGATTCAAAGCAGCAGGCAGCAGCTCTTCTGCTCTTGTTATCGTCTGGACTAAAAATTCACCCATGATTTACACGGAAAAACAGCTTTTAACATTTATGGCAGACATCAGATCAGAGACAGTAATCTGGTCTTTCTATACTTTTAAAGATCCATCAGTTCTCTCTTAGCCTTTCATCAAAATGTGTGCCATAAAGAGTAGCTGACAGAGTCCTCAACTGCTTTCATCTGACTTTCTTTTATAATATAACGATCCTTTTTTCCATCTGGTCCTAAAATCCCTTTTGACATGCATGTTTCTAAATCATTATCCAAATATCTGATGTTTTGCTCCACCACCCCAATAAAATGCCCATAAATAGGCCTCAACTGTTGTGTCCACCAGCAAGCCGCATGAAAAGAAGCCTGTGATCCCAAGTGAACCAGTATTCCTGTTTAAAGCAATAAGCATAATCAAAATAGAACATTTCTGTGGCTATAAAGTCATTCTGAAGATTAACACTGCATCCTTCACAGAGTCTGTGTGGGAAACCGAAATCTTCCTCTCAGATCTAGAGATTATTTCGGTGTTTGTTTGACTCGCATTTGTTTACTTACAGGAGTCCCGACCATCTTTATCTCTGCATGGGTGATTACGAAGGCTTGCTTGAATCACCGGGGGTGAGTTTGGACTTTTTTTGTTCTCTGAAAGACACACGTGCCCTTACGAAATCATCACCACTGGGATTTGATTATGATCAACAACAATAAAACAAAAAGTTAATGGCAACTAATCATTTCAGCCTCTTACATCCTAATCTTCATTATTTCACTAAGATACCATCTGTATTGAGACAATAGGATTTTTTTTGTCCTGTCCACAGGCGGATGGTACAAATAAGGAATTGGCCTTCTGCTCTTCTTCCATATATAGACAGAGATGGTTTCTAATGACCCTCCCAATTACTAATACGAATTAACTGAGAGTCAAGAAATGTTTTAATGACGGTATACCATTTTCATGGGTCATACCAAATCCATAATGCCAAAAGCATTTTGGCAACTGAGCAGACTACCTGTGTCCTGTGCATTTGCATAGAAAAAACGCAAATTAAAATCTTGAAGTGTTTCTGAGAGTAAAATATGGGCAATGGGAAAAAGCTGAGTGTACCCAAGAGTTAGAAGAATCACTTTCTTTTTGCATTGGTGAAATGTCGGTACTTGAAAAAGGTGACTCAAAACAATTTCAGTGTGCAATGTGAAAGTTATACAGTGACTTTAAAATTTTGAGACGGTTAAAAACTTTTCTTATTATGTGGATATAGGATTGGATCTCTATCTGTCAGATGTGACTATGAATAGAAAAACTTTGAGACTTTTCCCTATATAAAATATTCATAAGACGTGTCTATCATTTTCCCACTGTTTTCTCCACTGTTAGATGCTGGGAGACAATTGATGACAATCCCTGGTGGATCATCAAAGCACCTATTTTGGTCGCCATACTTGTGAGTAACGACTGCTGACTAACATTCACACATGCAGATCAGCATAATGCAACATTAAAAAAATGTGCTACTCTCGTGACAGGTGAACTTTTGCCTCTTCATTTGTATAATCCGGATATTGCTACAGAAAATGAATTGCCCTGACATCGGAAGGAAGGAGTCCAATCAGTACTCGTAGGTTTTCAGTGCCAAATGTCAACAACTTTATCACAGCAAAGGCTACAGCCATGTCTTATCATGTGAGGCTGATTGAATTATGTTTCTGCTGTGAAGTTTTGAGATGGAGCAATGCTCTTGCTCAAAAAACAAGCATGGCCTTGCAGCTCACTTTTTGTGAATTTGGAGTGGAGAAAACACCCGCTTTCTCTTCACTTTTCATTTTTTCCTGTCGCTTTTAGGAGGCTGGCTAAATCTACATTGTTGCTGATACCTCTCTTTGGCGTAAACTACATAATATTCGCCTTCATACCAGACAACATCTACTCAAGAGTCAGGATGGTGTTCGATCTTGTTCTCGGGTCTTTTCAGGTAATACATCCCACAGCTTCATGCCTTGTCGGCCACACTTTTCATCAGGTTTTTTTCTTACAGACACATGTCATAGATAAGATCTGAGGTAATCCACCAGCAGATTGGACTGTTGCGTGCTAATGGCTTGTTTTGTATGTTTGAATAATGGGTTAGATGATCTACTGCAGATTAAAAGCTCGAAGGAAAGTGCAGCGATGGAAAGTATTCCTAATTTATTACCATTTCGGCTCAGCATGATATCTCCTGGGAACACGTCCCAGTCATCCACATGATGAACCTCCTGTCTGAGCCTGAAGGTGGTCATGATCTTAGCGTCATTATTCATGGAAAAATATTTTCAGTGTTTCCCCAGCTGTGCTATCATCCAGCCCAGCTTTCGTTTTCACCAACCACCTCTTTTTTTTTTTTAATCTCCTTCTCCCTTTCAACAGGGTTTTGGTGTCACGGTCCTGTACTGCTTTCTGAACGGAGAGGTTAGTTGACTCAAGCAAACCGCCGCTCTTTGAGATGTTTACTGTTCTTTTTCAAGTCACCTAATCTCCATTTACCCGTGCGGCCGATCGTCTAACCGCCCGGCTGTTTGCCCACCGCTCCGCCTGTGCTGCAGGTGCAGTCGGAGATTAAGCGTAAGTGGCGCAGGTGGATGCTGCAGAGGTTCCTGGTTGCTGACACTAAGTACCAACAGCCCTCCATCGGCAGCAACGGCAACAACTTCAGCACCCAGATCACCATGTTGACCAAGTGCAGCCCCACAGCCAGACGTGCGTCCGCCTGTCAGGAGCACCTCTCTTCCATCTGAAACCCCTGTAAAGCTGACTTACCGTATCTCATCATCATCGTCATCATCATGTTGGCATGAAATTTCAGTACTGAATCTGATTTATTTAGTTTCCTTAGCTGGCAAAAAAAAAGAAAGGAAAAAAAGACAGCTGCTCCGTTCTTTTTTTTTTTTCTGTAGGGAAAAGTGATTTGACACTGACTTGGGAACACTGTGTTATAAAAAGAATGGCTGAAATTCTTACAGAGAAGAACATAACGCTCAGTTTTACGGTCTGATGATGCGTAAAGTTTGGTCGGGAGAACTTTCACTGCCACTGGATATTGGCTGGGTGGACAAAGGTCAGAGGCACGTGGGTGTAATGCTCTGTCCAAATTGCACATCGAGGCAAGTTGCACTCACTGTTGGCAAATTTACTGAAAATCGGTCACTGGAGAAAGTTTAGCGGCTGTCCGGCAGCATGCCGCTAGTCTAGACTCTTGGTCAGTATTTTTCATGTGATGCTAAGGTCAGTAAAGCCTCTGAAAATCTGCATCCAAACTAGATGGGGGGGGTTATTTTTTATTACCAGGACATTTTACACCTCTTAATGTAGTGACTTAATGTTGTGTAGGGGACAAATGGTAATCACATGAATGCTGTTCAGGCTTTACAAAGTACTGGAGTTTCTGGAAAAGGCTCCGTGGGCCGTGGATGAGGGGTCTGCATCCTGCCTGTGACAGTTTTATATGGGGCATACACTTAGCTGAGTAACTGCCAGATAGCATTCCAGAAGAGAGGCTGCAGCTGCGGTTTCGGGGAAATCTGGCCCAAATTCAGAGGCTTTTAGTTTGGTCTGAGCGCGTTGTCTCATAACAAGTAGAGCCGATGCATCGGGTTAGTCCACAATGGGCCGTCTCAGATGGGGTGGATTCCAAGGACGGTTTATTTAGTTTGATTGCATTTATTTTTAATCTTTTATTCTCGTGCCACCAGCACATCTTTCTTTTGTCATAAACGAGGTGGGCTGTGTATATAGTTTGGAAGTGTTCATTCACAATAGCCGACTCCTAAGCTTTTCTGTTAGTCCAAAAACGAAAAGATTCAAGGTTGGTGTCTTTTGGCGTTTGAAAGTCTCATCAGTAGTTGATGTGTCTGGCTAATTACATCGTTTTAACTGCGGGTTACTGTGTTTTTCTTAAAAAGAAATTGGATTCATGTGCTAAACACGATTTCTCACACAATATAACTCCAAATGCTGATGAATGATCTTTACCATGAGAGGGAGCATTTTTCTCTGGTCATGAATGTTCAGTGGTGACACAGCAGATGGTTCCATGTGTTCTGCTTATGTACTGGAAACAGTTCCCCATGTCCAAACAAAGCATACTTTATTTCCTTTCCTCTTTCTGTCATCGGCTGTAGCTCTTTGCTTTGGTTAGCTCAGAGCTCATTCCAGCCTCACGCCTCCAAAAGATGTAACCTTCAAGTACCTCACGAATCAGATCTTTACAGAATGTAAACGCAGGGGTGACTGACTTTTTCCGATATTGGGTCTTTTTCTACACCTTCTAACATTCGTCTTTGATGTGAATTGTTACTTTTTAAATCCGCTAAAGTGGCTGTACCTGCAGTTAACAGTAGTCAGTCTGGAGAATAGAAAGGATTCCTTACAGGAGGGCCAAACCAACATTTTTTAAAATCTAGTCTAGACTCAATTTCTCACCGTTTAAAATAATTGGAGCGTTTAGTGTTTCAACAGTATTGAAGAAAACTCAATTCTGAATTTCTCGGATTCACTTTTGCATTGTGTCTAAATAGATTTGCACGTGATTGGCAGTCTGTGTAAAGTGACAAACGCGTTAAATGCCAACACACTTTTTGAAGTTTGACCTGTAGCAGCTTTGAAAATTTGAAAAGCTCTGACCTCTGACTGTTTCAAGTAAGCCACTAATCTTTCTGAAGTAGCTCACACAAGCCCTTAGAAAAGAAACCTGAAATGTCTCTGTAAACTCAAAGTATTGATTCAGTAACCTTTCCATTCCGACTGTCTGCTGAACTTTTGATTTGTGACCAAATAATTGCGAGGCTAATGTTGTTTTTCAGCATTGTCCTTCATGTCTATCGCTCATGGTGAGATGTTAATCTGAGATGGTGACAGTTTTAACCGTTTCATTAGCATAACATCCCCATGCGTCGCCTTGCCCTTGGGAGCACGCTCCTCACGGACGTGTTTATGCATCAGCGGTGTGTTTCTCAAAATGCAGCTTGCCGCCAGCCCTTCTCCTGACTCTGTCTTGACTGATGTAAATATAATTTATTGAGCTACATTACATCATGATTTCTGGTGTTCTTCTCAGTATCGCATAGAAAAATGTGTTTGAAGCCACACCCTCATTCGTTTGGCATTTTAAGAGTAGAACTTGTGGGGATTTTGCCTGTATTTTATAGAATCTCCTTCTTGTGATTGTACCAGTATGTGTAAAACCTAAAGTTGAAATAACTGTACGTACCTCAAACTAAATGTCCCACAGCTTTTGTTGTGTATGTGTTCGTGTGTATGAACCTGCTGTAAATATGCATAAAAAAGTGGTCAGATTGTGTTTGACGGTGATACTTTTAGAGCTCAGGTGTCAAACTAGGAACCGATGTTTACATTTAGATCTGCAGTCCTCTATGGTATTTGCACAATGTCAGTATGAAGTATCTCTTATTTGTTGCCATGTGCTTTTCAGAGAAACCTTGTACCGTTCAGTGTGTGGAGTATGATATAAAGATGTTATTGAACAAATGAAGATGCGTACAACTGTTTGACCAGTGCATGAAGCTTCAGTATAATTCCAGCTTAGAGATCAAGAATCAGTGAATGCAACACAGTTATGGTGATTTTTACTACCTGAACACAGTATTATATGTAGAAAATAAGATTAATGAGACAGTATCGCAAAAATAATGTACATTACACATTTTAGCTTTTGACAATCAAACTGGGTGTGATCATTTGTCCTCTCCTCCCTCCCCACCAGGTTTGACATGGGTCTGTCTCCCCCTGCTGTTAGACATGGAACAAAACAATTGATGCTGATTAACCTTTTCAAAAATGATCCTCAGAAACCAATTTATGTTCTTACTCTTAATTATTTCCTTCCCCTATTCTGATTATATGTCTGTGTGATAATTCAATATAGTGCCAGCTGAGTCCTGCTTCTTCAACCTTGAGGCAGGTGACTGCAGGTGGGTTATAACTTGGTGAGACGGAGAGTGTTGAGACGAACTGGAAGAATGGTGGATCCCTCTGCATAGCAAATCTCACGCAAAACCCCAATCCAGCTGCTCTCTGACTCATCATATCTGGAAAGATAGAAAGAAACACACGTTTTAGTGTTAGCTGTGCAAGTAGTAACTTAAGAAAGCGCATAGTCAGAAGATGTCAGCGACTCCATTTTAAGATCTGAACTGTGTTTGAAATTGTAATCTCATCAAATAATATCATTATCGCAATAAAACATAGAAAACATGACAATTCTTTTGACATTTTTCACCCTTTTGGATCAACGTGATGACACCGGAAGGTCTGAAAAGGTGTTTTTCTGACAATAGTCTTTAAATGTCTGTTAGCTGAAACTGCACATTGGACAGAAAATGCTGTTTAATTCATGTCTGACATAAAAATAAGATTAAACTATTGTTCCTCAGGTGATGCCCTCCATTTCTTCTGTAGGAAAAACCATCCCCCCCACCACCACCACCTGTCATCATAGCCAACATCTGTCGTCTTACCTCCAGATGTCTGTCATTTCTGTTGGGACGGGGTCCTCACTGGTTTCAGTGGGCATCATGGCAAACCCCCCAACTGCATACAGGAAACCTCCCATAGTGATCAGATTCAGGGAGCTGCGCTCCTGAGGAAACTCTGTGAATTCAGACCACCTGAAGGACAACAGAAACAAACACATTCACTCAAATGAGGACTCAATGGCATCAGATTAGCCGATGTATAAATGTATGACACACCCTGGAAGAAAGAGTTGTATTTTTTATCTAATAATATTGTAGTTGTCTCTTCAATGAGTCGTAAGCTACAGTGGGCCGATGCTTCACATCATAACTGTGAGATAAATCAGTCTCTTAAAAAAGGTGTTTGCCTCACTTGTTGGTGGCTACATCATAGACTTCCACAGAGGCGGTGAGGCCTGAGTCCGTGACTCCTGTTGCCACGACGATCTGGTCGTTGTGGACGGTGACACCAAACAGAGAGCGGGCTGTTTTCAGAGGAGCCAGGTCCTTCCATTCAAACTTAGTGGGGTTGTACACACAGACCCTCCGCATGCACTTCCTGCAAAGAACAACGACAAAACATTCACACATAGTGTTAAAAGTGTCGATACATAGATACATAATCTACAGATGTACATGCATAGTCCCGGAATTTGCAGGTTTGCAAGAACTGACGTGCTCCTGAAGTCTCATTTTCTATTTTTATCCAGTATTACACACACGTAAGTGATAAAAGTGTAACCACCAAAACTAGCCGTTAGCATGTGTGTGACTTTAGATTCAGGCCTTTTTAGTGTAGGGTCTGCATTAATTGAATGGGATCAATAAGTCAAATTTTTGTCAACTACAGGGAAAAGCTTATCATGCAGGTAAAAATCCACAGTCAGATAGATTGTGTAGAACTGGAGGATGTTCAGGACCACAGTTTTCCTCCAGAGCAGTGCTGATCATATTGAGTTAAGAGCAAAGTGGGAAACAGCCGTGGCATCATAAGTGAACTCAGACAAACCTCCAAACAACTGATCTCTCCTTCAATATTGTTTCAATTACAAATTTCAGAGTCCTCCCTTTGAAAAAAAGAAATTAACGACAGCAATGTGCAAAGCTGCTACCAGGAAGCTACAGCTCACTAAAAAAAGCATCCATGTCTGCAGATTGTGAAGGACACACCAGAGCATTCACAAAAGAAAGAACCATAGTTTAAATAATAGGTTAGTGCTCTAAAGAATTTAAAGTGGAAAAAGGCATATTCAATGCTCTGAAATGGGTTTTGCAGTTTGGTCCCGTTTTTATCTGTACATTGAAGAATATGTGGCAGAGATTTTCTATCTATGAATTGATGCTCAAGAGAAATTGTGTCAAATAAAAAAAGATCTATCACTGATATATTGTTAAAGAAGAAAGAGAATGAGAGGTAATGGGTTTTTCATGTCAATAAATCTCACGTTTTATCCATAAGAAGTGAACTTCTGCCTGATATGTTGAAATTCCACCAACTGACCAGGTCACCCTCTGATAGCATTACACATAGAAGAAAATATTGGTAATATACACAGCATCCCATAAAAAACAGTTTAATATGTTACTCACTTGCTCTCAGACTTTCCTCCAATGACATAGACGAGACCTTTGTGTGATACAGTTCCATGACCGTACACTTCATAAGGCAGCGGGTCGGACTCCCCCCATTTGAACGACCTGTGTGCAAAGAGACCGCATTTCTCCAGCTTAGCTGAGATTGAATTTTTCAAATCATAAAGAAGAGTTTGTATGCAGAAATGTATATGCAGAAGGAACAAAAGACCTCTTTAGCAGCGGGCAGAATTTTCAGCTCAGGTTTTACAAATACAATTCGACTGAGTCGTGAAATGAGAGAATAGTGGAATATAACAGTAAGGAGTTATGTGGGAAATGCCTGATGCGCCTTTAAATAAAGGGGAATCAAATTCACTTTCAGTTTGTTTTTTTGTTTTTTTGTTAGTCTCCTCTTTTAACTAGTTTTATAATGGGATACCAACAACACATTTTTGAACAGTTAAAAGTTTTTTCAGTTTAACCTACTGTCTGTCATAGATCATGACTGAATTCAGGGCGTGCTCTCCTTCCTTTAGTTCCTTTCCACCGACCACAAAGATGGAGTTCTCCACTTCAGTCAGGCCAAACAGACAGCGAGGGTTGGGTTGTGAGGGCATGCCCAACCATTCCGAACTTACCGGGTCAAACTACAGATAAGAACAAGATCATGCGGGAATTAGACATACAGGAAAATTCCCAAGCTGGGAATTTTTAGATGTTTTAAATAGATTTAAAAGAACAAAGACAATTAAAGTGTTTTCAGTCTGTGTGGAGCTGCTGATCAAACCGTACCTGAAGGAAGTAAGATTTGAATGGGTCATCTTTGTCCTCCTCGTTGTAAATAAGTCCTCCAATGGCAAAAATCTGGTTCTGCTTGGTCACCAGACTGCAGTGGTTTTTGGGAATCTCCGTTGATTCTGACGCCACAAAGCATTCGTTCCCTACCGGGTCGTAGGCCACAGTCCCCGTGTTGCTGATCATGAGCATTAGGTCCATCTCAAACATGCCAAAGCGAGGGTTGTTGTTGAGGATCCCCGGCAGGTATCCTTCCTCCTCATTTTCATCCTCACTCTCTTCCCCTCCTGTTGCCCCGTCACCAGAGGGCTTCTTGGCCTTGGGCAAACGCCCTTGGTGAGCATCCTTGACAAGTTCCAGCTCCTTCTTGATCTCTTGGTCGAACCGGATGTACTGGTGACGCTCAACTTTTTCTTTGAAATAGTCCACTGGTATGAGCCTGAATCTAACACAGTGCAGCAACTTTGGTAGATCTTTTAGCCTCTTTGTTTCGTCGTGCCTGACCCAGTCCATCAGGGATTCGAACACCAGCTCCTCCCGCTCAACGTTCAGGGCGTCCGAGGTAATAAGGATGGCCAGCTCGCTTGGGCTGAGCTGCACAAAGTCCTGGTCTCTGACAACAATCTGGTAGCGCTCGCAGATAAACTCTCTTGCGCTCAGAGCAAGCCTTGGACAATCCAGAAGGAGCCCCAGTCTGAAGATGGCCAGGCAGTTGGCCAGGACAAGCTTCTCTTGGAGATAGGTCACACACACGGAAAAGATGGACGGTATCTGGTACATGTTGGCAACCATGAAGATATCCTGGACATTCTGCTCCGTCAGATTAATGTCAGATGTGTACAAGTAGCGCAGGATCATGCCCATGACACTGGGGTCCACATCTTTGAGGACTATCTCCCGCTTCTTGCTCTCCTCTAAGTCTGACAGGAACATGGCCTTGAAGAAGGGGCTGCTGGCAGCCAAAACCAGGCGATGGCAGGGGAAGTCCTTGTCCTGGATTTTGAGGACGCAGTCCACAAACTTGTCATTCTCCAGAAGGTCACAGAGTCCGTCCTGTAGCAAAGTCTGTTGGTACATCCGAGGCTGCTGCACTGGGTCTATCGTCATGGCAGCCATTTTGTTGTCTTGTCCTGGTTGGGTCTGGTGGACTCCCTTCTTACTTTCCTCTGCGTGGCCGGACTGTCGGTTTTCACGAGGCCGTTAGGATCGGTATGGATACTCTCCCCTCGTTGGTTGGCTGGTGACTGCAGCTGTCTGTGACCGTCAGTCATTGTGCCAGCCGGGGGTATTTATAGACGTGAACCTCACAAAGCTGAGAGAGAGGAGCTATCCACCGGCCCAACAGACTCGAGCTCGGCCTGTGACTCACAGCTGAATGATGGGGGTTGTTAAATCCAGCACAGCAAGTCATCAGGCAGCTTCACTGGGTTTGATCACTTTTTTTTTGAGCAGTCACTCTCTGTGGTCCATCAATGACAACGAACAACCCTGACTGTCAATAATCACCACTGCTGAACTAAACCCTCATCATGTTACAAGAAGAGAAAGTGGGAGACTTTGTAGTATAAATAGAATTACTACATCATCTGACTCAGTGTCCCGTTTAGTAAAAATTAAAAGCCTAGCATATCTATCTATCTATCTATCTATCTATCTATCTATCTATCTATCTAT